AAATTTTTAAAATTAGCTAGACATGATGGATTGCATCTGTAGTCCTAGATACTGGGGAGACTGAGGCAAGAGGATCGCTTGAGCCCAGGAGTTCATGGTTACAGTGAGCTCTGATTATGCCACTACACTCCAGCCTGGGGCCTGTGCAACAGAGCAAGACCCTCTCTCTAAATTGAAAAAATAAAAAGGTATTTAAACATGAGTGTGAATGTTTACTACAAACAAGAAGATAACTTATGAAGTCTATTTGATTTAATGATATGTAGAACATATGGCAATATTAATGATAATTACTATCATGATAATAAATTACATGCCTGATTTTCCCCTCATTTGTTACATCTAAGGTCAACAGTTAATTCTCACCTCTTCCCTTGCAGCCTCTTTTCCATGCACAGTTTGGTGTGTTTGGTCAGTTTTTAAGAACTGAGACCATGTTTGGGCTAAATGAACATTTCCAAGTGGGATGAACCAAAACGTGGAGAGTGGAGCCACAGTTTGGGCACCTAAAAAGCTGCAGTCATCTCATGGTTGCAAGGGTAAAGAGTGTTGGAGAGAAAAGTGGTTCCTCCAGACTGCTTAATAGAAACACCCTCAAGGGCTCATATGTCATGAAAACTGTTCTTGCTCATCTTCACTTCTAGAAGTGACGGCTATTGCTGTTTGGGACTTTCCCTTCAGGCCTGCTTTATTTTCACCTTAGTTCACCTCTAGGATCACCTGAGAGTGGGTTGCCCCAGGAGAACAGGGACTGAGATTAGTCTTGGGTCCTGGGGCATGCTAGCGTGATGCTGATTATATAAGGATCTAGAAATCCTGAGCCCACAGCTTCATGGTATTTGAAGAAAGCCTGGAATCCATTCTCCACCAAACACTTTTGAGTGCCAAATAATTATTTTGTTCTCTAAATGAATAATAATGAAAATGAAGGTTTTGTTTCACTTAGAACACTTTTCCTTATTCACCCCGAATGTGGGATTTCTCATTATTTCTTGAGGAGCCCAATAATTTTCTATTTAGGACATCGATCTCCTCCTCTCTCCCAACACTGACACCTCACCCCATTCCTTTTCCTCCCCCTGTCTTTCAGGTACTCAGTGTGGAGAATGCTCTACTGGTTTCTATGGAAATCCAAGAATTTCAGGAGCACCTTGCCAACCATGTCCCTGCAACAACAATATAGATGTAACCGATCCAGAGTCCTGCAGCCGGGTAACAGGGGAGTGCCTTCGATGTTTGCACAACACTCAGGGTACAAACTGCCAGCTCTGCAAACCAGGTCACTATGGATCAGCCCTCAATCAGACCTGCAGAAGTAAGTCTGCAAAACTCCCGGGGTGAAATGTATCAGCTGAGTGACAGCTTGTAAGTGTCTTGTCAACTCTCCCATGCTCATTTCAGTTAGGCCAGTCCCAGCAGGCAAAAGCAGCACCTACCAGGTGACAGGGCTGTTGTACTGAACTCATCAACAGAAATTAGTGCAATGCAACCACTGGTATTCTCAGATGCAGCCACAATGTTCTCACTGGTGTTACTAGTTTGCCTTTTGTGTCTGTTGCCTGAAATACCTGTCCTCGTGGATTCAAAGCATTGTTTCTCAGAGTTTAGGCCGCAGTTGACCAGTGCCAGAGCAGTGGGGAGGTGAGGTGTATTAACATGCAAATTCCTAGGCTGTACTTCAGACCCACTGAGTCAGAATCTCTGGGAGTGAAGCCCAGGAATCTGCATTGTAACAAACTCGTCAAGTGACTGTAATGCATAAGTGAACCATTGTTTTCAAGTCATTTAAATAAATGGGACTTTCGTGAGTGGCATGAGGGAAAAATAAGATTTTTAGGCATCTTAACTGTGCGCTCTTCGCACAAGTTCCACCACATGAACTTGCCATTTGGGGAGATCGGAAACCATTAAATGGGTTCAACCTGCTTAGATTCTTCGGTAAATTCTTTACTATTATAAGGTGTTTGTTCTTTGAGCCCCTTGGAGAAATGATACATCCAGATCTAAAATTCTCTTTGTATGGTTTGCTAAATGCCAAATTTATCATTGAATTTACCTCTGATGATGGTTTTATCATCCCAGGATGCTCCTGCCATGCTTCTGGTGTGAGTCCCGCGGAGTGTCCCCCTGGTGGGGGAGCTTGCCTCTGTGACCCTGTCACTGGTGCATGCCCTTGTCTGCCGAATGTCACAGGTCTGGCCTGTGATCGTTGTGCTGATGGATACTGGAATCTGGTCCCTGGCAGAGGATGTCAGTCATGTGACTGTGACCCTAGGACCTCTCAAAGTAGCCACTGTGACCAGGCAAGATACTTTAAAACTTACTAGTGCACTCAGAGTAAGGACTGATAGTGAGACATGGTTTCTAAATGTGTAAAGAAAGTTTCTTTTATGTACTGTTGTTAATTAGTGCATTTAAACAGGATTGGCCTTGCAGGGGATGGAGTCAGCCTCTATCAAGGAATGAAAACCAAAAAAAGAGAATGAGCATCTCAAAGCTCAGCTTCGCCTACTTCAGTTTTCTCTCTGTGACTGAGGAAGTCAGAATTCATACACAATGGAACACAGACATCAACCTCACCTTTCACTATTTCATACGTGTAATCATAGGGAAGATCTAAGAAATAATCAGAAGAGATTATTAATCAGAATGAAAATAAACAGATACCTTCAAAACCCACAAGTCCATTTAAAAAACTGAGCTGTTGTTTCCTATTGCTCACCAATGGCTTTACATATGGGTAAAATAAGAAGTCTTCTTGACTTGTAGACTGGCATCATGTAGGCATGTGTACCAGGATCAAATCTTCAATGTTTCATATACAACTAATACTACATAGATAGATGCATGTGTGATTTTTCAGTCAATAAACCAGTGAGCACAGAATTTTTAATAAGGATAACATCACTTGTGGGAAAAAAACTATTTGTTAACATCATGCCTAGTTTTTTTGGCAGTTGTTTTGGTTTTTGTCTTTTGGCTTAATCTATTCTTTGAAATAATTTTCACATTAATAGAGTTTGGGGGGAAAAGGGTAAAAACAATGACAAGAAATGTTAGAAAAAGCCAAATTCACAATATAGGGATCAGGATTTAATTGGAATGAAAATGCAAATTTAAGTAACTGGAGTCTTTTCAATTAGTAAGCATGGCTCACCTCCTATTTCAGCTCCACTATTTAACCTATTATTCAAAGGTCAAATCTTTTGAAGGTAGTTCTTATATGTAGAATGTGTTTTTCCTTCTCTTCTTTTCCTTTCTCTCCAATCCTCATCCACCAATCCACATAAACACCATACTTTTTTTTTGAGACAAGAGTCTTGCTCTGTCACCCAGGCCTAAGTGCAGTGGCATGATCTTGGCTCACTGCAACCTCCGCCTCCTGGGTTCAAGCAATTCTCCTGCCTCCTCCTGAGTAGCTGGGATTACAGGCGCCCGCCACCATGCCCTGCTAATTTTTGTATTCTTAGTAGAGACAGGGTTTCACCATGTTGGCCAGGCTGGTCTCAAACTCCTGATCTCAAGTGATCTGCCCACCTCGGCCTCCCAGAGTGCTGGGATTACAGGCATGAGCCACGACGCCCAGCCCCCACAACATACCTTTTTAAAAATGAGCTTTTTGTTTCAGAATACATTTGTGAAGTTGTAAAGGTAGAACAGAGAAAATAAACACCATACCCAGTTTCTTCTATTATTAACACCTTATATTAATTTAATAACATTTGTCACTATTAATGAATCAATATT